TTATCATAATCAGATAATTCTAAACTTCTTGGATAAAATAAATTACCACGAACTGAAATTAAAGTTAATCCATACCATCTTTTAATAACGTTTCCATTTGAATCAATATAAAGTAATAAACTAAAACATTTTTCTTTTTTACCCACTTCAAGACTTTTATCATTTAATTTTTTTGATTTACTCATATCATAAGAATATTTTGCATTATTAATAACATTTTCTAATAAATGTGAAATTATTTCTTCAAATTTATGAATATCTTCTTTTGTAATATATGGTGAATGAAATCCTAATTCAGTTATCCCTCTGTTTTTATCTACATCAATGTGAATTCCATCATCCATAAGATTTGTCTGTTCTATATCAATTGTAAAAACTTCTCTGTCTGTTAAGTTAATAAATTCTTTTGCACTTCCAAAATATGTTTCTTTAAATGGTTTTATAAAACTTGTTTGGTCTAGCCTTGTGATTGGGTCATTTCTTAGTTCTTTTAAAATTTTGTCTATTTGCTTTTCTTTTCTTAATTGTTCATAAAATGAGAGTAATAAAGAACAATAGGAACTTGTCATTTTAAATTATTAAATTTATTTTTTAGTTCAAAAAAAATAAAAAATAATTTAAAATTTTTCTTTATTAATTGAAGAAGCAAAAATCTGAAGAAAAACAAAACTCCAATTAAAAAAAGGGTTAAAGCAAAGTGCACATCTTATGTGATGATTTTTGTGGTTGATTTTTGTTTAAAACAATATGAATTGCTTCATCAAATACTTGATTGAGTCCAGAACGAGTTAAAGCTGAACATTCCATATAACAAATAGCTTTAATATCTTTTGCAAGTTTTTCACCTTCTTCAGTTGTAATTGGTTTTTGGTTTTCATCAGCCAATTTTCTGATCATAGCTTCATCATTACGACAATCAGTTTTTGTTCCAACTACCATCATTTTACATTTTGGTTCATAATGTTTAATTTCTGGTAACCATTTAGATGAAATATTATTAAATGATGTTCTTGATATAACTGAAAAACATAATAAGAAAAGGTCAGTATTCGGATATGATAATGGTCTTAACTGTTCATAATCTTCTTGTCCTGCTGTATCCCATAATCCTAAATTAACTGGCTTTCCATCTACTGTCATTGGTGCCATGTAATTATCAAATACTGTTGGTACATAATCTTTTGGAAATTCATTGGTTGTATAACAAATTAATAAACATGTTTTTCCAACAGCTCCATCCCCTACTACAACTAATTTAACACTTGTTGCGTCTGTTTGTGCAGCCATATTTGATATTTAAAAGTTCTTACATTTTATTTTTTAGTTTCATTTTTTAATTTATTATTTTCGCTTTTTTTTTATTTTTTATATTTTTTTTTTAATACTTAATGGTTATCATATATTCTTTCTTTTTCTCTTATTCTATTTTTCTCTTGTTTTGTAATTGTATTTTGCCATTTATAACAGTCGGATTATAAAAATAAAACTTTTATATTTAATTCTATTTTTCTACAAAATTTTAATTAATTTAATTTAAAAAAGTCTTCTTATATAGATCTTGATGAAAAGTAATTTCTGAAATAACTAAGTGAAATTTCTTTGTGTCTGTATTTATTTATTTCATTTCATTGCTCTAATTAAAAAAATTATCGTAATTTCAATTTAACTACTAGATTTCAATTTAACAACAAACAATTCAAAGAAGTTTTTCTAAACTTCTAAATTTTTATTCTTAAAAATTTTTTTAAGTATCATAAATTAGTTAGATATATACTATCTACAATTTCCTTTATTAAATTCATTATTTTATTGAGCAATATAATCAATAAAACGTATATATATTGTAACTACTGTTATCATTGATTCTAATTTTATTTTTATTTTAAAGGAAGAATATTTTTATATTCATTTGAAAATTTTTTATTACGTCATCTTTTTATATTTAATTTTAGCACAAAACTCTTTTATTTTTAAATAAGAATGAAGATTTTTTTCCAATCTCTTCTGATTTTTTTTTTGATAATGACAAAAATTATATCCAGTGTCTCTTTTGCAATCAATTACACTTGTTAGGTATTGTGAATGTAAAAATAAAAGAGAGGTGATGAGAAAATACACGAGAAGAGAGAAAAGGACCCAAGGATAAAACAAAAGGGAACTGAAAAAAAAAGTAAAAAGTGGATGTTCAAAGGTACATCAATTGAACAAGACCCTCACTTCTCTGACAAACGTGAAAAATTGAAGAAATCGATGACATTTCCAGAAAACTTCTATCAGAAAGTAGATTTTAATAAAGTCAATATTGAAGTAATGAGAGCCTGGATTACATCGAAAATAATTGATATATTAGAAGTAGATGATGATATTCTTGTTAACACAATCGTAGGGTTTATTGAAGAAAATGTTTGGTGTTTCTTCTTTAAAACAAAAGAAAAAGAAACTTACCTATCAGGGAAATGAAACAGATCCTCGTGATTTAGAAATTGATTTGGAGGCATTTCTTGGAGATAAAACAAATGAGTTTGTAGAAGAATTATGGGGTTTGTGCCAGATGGGAGAGAAAAGTAAAGACGGTATTCCAGAATGCCTAAAGAAAGCAGCTGAAGAACGTGAGGCAAGAAAAAGAAGAGACAAAGAAAAAGGGGGATACCAACCAAAGTACCGTAGGACAGAAAGGAGTGAGAGTCGAGAAAGAAATAAAAAGAAGTAAATTTTGATTATTCAATTATGTTTGTCATTAAGTTTTATTATTTATTGTTTCAACAGAGTTAATGAGATGAAGTGATTAAAAACAAAAAAGGAAAAAAAGAAAAAAAAGGGATTGTATTTCAAGTTAGGTAAAAAAAGAATAAGGAAAGAATAAAGAAATAATAAAAAGAGTTATAATTAGTTAGAAAGAAATAGAAAAGAAAACAAAAGAGAAAACTATGAATAACAGAAATGGATGTTATTGATTTGAAACAAACAGAAATTTTTTCAGTAGAACTGACAGAATTACATCAGTTAGTATTAAATGCAGCACAAAGAGGAGTTGCCATTCAAAATAATCCAAAAGAGTCAGATGTTTTTTCACTTCATGAAGATGAGAATTATGCAAGTGCATTAAGACGTATAATTGTATTTATTCGATCTAAGTCTGCAAATATGTTAGGAGAAGTAGTAAAAATAACATCAAGTAATCAAGAAGAATTAACATATGAAACAATTGTAGCAAATATTTTCATTGCAGATGTGATGATAACATTTTATTTATATTGTGGATGGATGGATCAATTAACAGAGAAATTAGCAGATAAAATGGTAGGAAGATTAAAAATTATTGGAGATAATATTAAAGCAATAAAAAATGAAACTGTATTTGATGTTGCATATAAAACAATGATTAATCAATGGAGTTCATTAGTTAAACTTCTTTCATTAGAAAAACAATTTAGAAATATATGGAGTTATTTCTTTGGATATTGGAAAGATCCAAATACAGAAAATTTTAGTACTCGAGTTCGTTTATTAAGATTTATACAATTTTCAAAAAATGAAACATCAGATGTTAAAATAGTTGAAGGAGTTCTTAAAACGATTGCAGTTTCAATAAAATCAGCAAAAAAAATAGAATTAAAAGCAGAAATAATGGAAGTATTAGAAAATTTAATGTTTTCATTACCAGAAGGATCATTTGGAAAAGAATTAAATATAGTTCATGGAATTATATCACCATTTTTTAATAAATCATTTGAAATGGAATGTCATGGATCAAAAATAGAAGCAATTATTCATATGAAAACAAATTTAACAGAAATTCAATCAGTAACAAAATATATTAGTGGACTTAATGAAATTAATGCAAAAACAGAACCAATTTTAAATTATATTGAAACATTATGTAAAGGAGTACATGAAAATACAGAATTATATATACCAGATTCATATTATAATCTTCCAAAAGAAGCAAAAAAAAGAATTTCACCATTTAGAGTTTTACCATTAAGAAAAGAAGCAGAAAAATATATACAAGCAATAATGGGAGTTGTTGTAAATTGTCCTGCTAAAGTAGAAAAAGAAGAAATTGAAAGAAGAGCTAGAAAAGTAGTATTTTGTGCAGCACATAGTCTTCCAATTACATATCGTATTCTTGATTCATTTTTTGAAGATAAAGAAGATTATTTAAGTCTTAGTGTTATGTATAATGCATTACATTTAATTGTTAATGATAAATTTTTATGGATTAATGTTGAAGAAGAAAAAGAAATTCATGCAAAGAAAAAAGTACTTACACTTGGTAAAAGAAAATTTCTAGAACTTTATCAAAATGTTTATGATAAAGTAAAAGAAAATGATTCATATACAAATATTTCAAGAATATTAAAAATTCCAAGTCATATTAAAGAATTTATGGCATCTAATTGTGCAAATGATACATATATTAAAGCTAAAATGTTTGAAGCAGTTAAAAGATGGAGAGAAATTCAAAAAGGAAAAATGGCAGGATTAGATGTAAAAAAAATAAGAGATACAGAATTAGAAGTAGTAAAAATATTAGAAAGATGGGGAAATGAAGTTAAAATAGAAGGAATTACAACAGGAATTAGTACAGTTAAAAAAGAATTTTTATCAGAAATTCCAGAAGATTTAAAAAATCCAAAAGAAATAATAAATAAAGAAAAACAAATAGAAAAAAGAAAAAAAATTATTAAAGAAGAAAAAATAAAAGAAAAAATAAGTGATGAAATGATTCTTTTTGTACAATTAATTAGATATATTTCAAATCTTCCTAAAATGTATATTATTTATACACAAAAACAAGGAGCATTAACATTTTTTTCATTTTTAATAAGTAAAAATGATTATTTAGCAGAAGCTGTAATGGAAGCTATATTTATAATGGTATTTCAAGAAGCAACATATAGAACATTAATTGTATGGGATTTAATGAAAGTAGTTATTGATATTATGGAAAATGATATAGCATATCAAAATATGATGGAATTTGTTGATGCAATTATGTGTTTATGGACTGTTAAAAGAATTAATGAAGCAACAAAAAGAATTGAAGAAAAAGAAAATCAAAAAAAGAAAAAAAAAGGAAAAAAAGAAAAAGGAGAAAGTATTGTTGTATTTACTGAACATTTATCAGAATATATTGAAGCAATTATTACTGTATTAGAACAAAGATTTAATCAAACAATTAGAATAGAAACACCACAATTATTAACATATCTTTATTTTACATCATTAAAAGATTTTGATAATACAGTATGGAATATAACATATAAAAATAAAGAATATATTGGACAATATTCTAGATATTTATTTATTTTAATGTCTAGTAAAATACCAGATTCATTATTAAGTATTAATAAAAATTTACCTTATATAGAACAAGAACAATTACAAGTAACTAATCAACATTTACTTTCAATGGATTATATACAAACATCAATAATATTAAAATTACTTGAAGAAAATGAAGGAACACATTCAATTGTTCAAAGAATTGCTAAAATAGTTAAAAAAGAATTAACAGGAAAAAATTTAACAAATGAAATAAGATATAGATTATTAAATATTTATTTATCTACACTTTATCTTAAAGGAACAAATAATATAAATAATGAAATAACAAGTGAAATATATTCATTAAAAAATCCAGAATTTAATAAACTTGGAGAAGAAGTTACACCAATTATTAAAAGTATTATTAAAGAATTAATGGAAAAAACAGAATATCAAGAACCAAATGAAAGTAATTTAATATATTTATTATCATGTATGCATCCAGATATATTTTATTTCTTTGTAGAACAAATTAAATCATATGCATTACCATTAATAATATCAGAAAAAGTTAATATTGAAAGAAGAAGACAATTAATGTTAACTACAATGATTATTTTAAGTAATTGTTTAATGAAAGATTGTAAAGCTATTTTTTCAAGTGAATTAGGATATAAATTAATATTAAGTATTCTTTCTATTATTAATGAAGTATTTCTTCAACTTAAATTACTTTGGCCATTATTTAATATAACAAATACAACAAATGATTTATTTAATTGTACAACAAATTTCCCTGCATATTTTGCACAAAATTTTGTAACATTATTATATTATTTTTGTAAAAATATTAAAAAAGAACCAATACTTCATTTAGAAGAACCTACAAATTCAGTACTTCCAATTTCACTTCAACTTCATTTTTTAGTATGGCCATTAGAACAAAGAACTGATATTTGTCAATATTTAATTAATACATTTATTAATCCACAAATGAAAATGAATCCAATTACTGATGTATTATGTTGTTCTGCATTAGAAGCAGTTTGTAGTATTTTTTCATTAGCACCATTATCACTTGGAGAAAAATTTTTTATAAAACCAAAACGTATTGTAGAATTAGAAAAGATGCATTCAGGAATTTTAAAATGGATTATTAGATTTCATCCAGATTTAGTATTTTCAAGAAAAAATCCAGATATTGAAAATATGACAGAAAGTAAAATTATTATTAAAGCTATTGCAAAAGTTTATTCTAAAATATGTCAACCAGAATTTTATGAAAGTGGAGTTAAAGTAATTGATAATAAACATATTGAATTTTTAAAAAAAGTTAATACATATATTAATATTGAACCAGAACCATTATTTATTAATAATTTAAAAAGATATGGAGCATCATTATTACATCATTCATTAATTACATTAATGGCAGATGATGAAAATATAAGAGTTTATGCATTTAATGTAATTTGTTGGTTATTACCAATTAAATTTGGACTTTCAGATATTTTTGATCAAAATTTATATGAAAATGTAATTAAATATAGAGTTGATATTTCAACTACTGTTGAACAAAATAGATTAAAAGCAGCTACTAATATTTGTGAAATGTGTGTTAAATATTGTAAAGAACATGCTAAAATTGTATTTTATAAAGGTACACTTGCAGGAGGAGGAAATAAATTATCTGATCTTCAAAAAAAATGGGTTGTAACATATAGTATTTATTGGTTACCATATGTTAATTTAGCACAAGATTATACACGTAAAGAATGTAATAAAATTTTAGATATTCTTGTATATGATGTTACTTCAACAATGACACATAATTCAGATCAAGCAATTATTTTTTGGTCAAGAGTATGTGAAAAAAGAAATGAAAAAGATGATATTCTTGGAGATGAAAATTCAAATTATAATATTATTTTTAATTTCTTAAAAAGTGAATTACCTAAAGCAAAAAATAGAGATTCATTTTTAATTATATTTCAAGCATTAATGAAAATTGATCTTAAAACAACATTTTTAAGAACAGCTCAAGCATTATCATATGAATTTTCAAGAACAATGATGATATCAAGAGGAACATATAGTGAAAAATATAAAGGACAATATATTGTTATGAATGTATTAAATGATTTTATTGGAGATGGTATTTTTGTTGAAGATTCTGGTGTTCATTATATGATTGTATTTTCTATTCTTATTTGTTATGCAGTTCAAGATAAAAAAGAAGTAGAAGTATTTTATAATTTTATTAAAAAATTATGTTATAATTTCTTTGATTCATATTCATCAGATAAAAATTTAGAAATTGCTAAATGTGGTACAAAATTTTTTACATTAATTTCAGCATTAGAAATTGATAATATATTAAATAGAGAAACATTACTTGAAATTATGGATAATTTTTGTCAATTATCATTACATCTTAATAAAATTAAATTACTTCAATTAATTAAAAAAGAATTATTTGAATGGTCATGTTCTGGAGATCCAACATCTATGAATGTTCAAGCATCTGTAAATGCATGTAAATTTTTTAATAAAGTTTTTAAAATTGGAGATAATGATATGCCAATTGATCAATTTGTATTTACATTATTAAAATTAAAAAATTCATTAATAAATACAGATGAAACACAACAATTAAATATTGATTATAAAAATATTATTTTTCAATATATTATTGAAATTATAAATATTTTAGATATGTTTTTACATAATATTCCTGATATACAATTAATATCTAAAATTATGTGGGTAGTTAGTTGTTTCCTTATTTCATATGAAGTTCCAATTATTATTTATCGAAAAGCTATTAAAATGTTAAAATATGCATTAAATCCTGAAATATATGATAAAATAAAACCAGAAATAATATTAAATACACTTAAAGAAATTACATTAAATAATCAAAATATGTTTAAAGGAATATTAATTATGGCATTAAGAGGATTAACTGATAATGATTCAAAAGATATTTCTGCTGAAATTTTTGCAAGACTTTTATCTAAACCAGAACTTTTCTTTTTTGCTTTTCCAAAAAAACCAGAACTTGTAGTACCAATTTGTATTATTGCATTTACATGTTGGTATTGTGATAGAACAACAAATCTTATATTAAGAGTTGGAGATGATTGGGAAATACTTGCAGAAAAAAGAAATATTTTAGTTCAAAATGCAGAAAAATTAAAAGAAATTAAACTTAAAGATTATTTAAATTATTGTAAAGAATTAGCAGAAAAAGATGTTAAACATATTTCTATATCTGTTTTAATGAGAAATGTATTAAATTGTATTACACCACTTGTTTCTGCTAATTTTGTAACTATTGTAGAACTTTTCTTTAATGAATGTATTATTCCAGAAACATCATCAGTATTTAGAGATATTTTAATGAGATTTGTTGTATATTTCTCAACAAGAGCTGAAACAAAAAGTGAATTTGTAAGAATTATTTCAAATAAAAGAGATCTTATTAAAGAAAGTCCTTATGTTTTTGATTTACTTGATGTTATGGTAAAATCTGCTGTAGAACAAGAACCAATAACAGAATATAATTTTATAGAAACACCTGAAATGTTAGATTCAGTTGCAATTAAAATTTTTGGAATAAATAAAGAAAATATTACTGATGGAAGTATTAGTATAAAAGAATCTATTACAAGTGAAACATTTAATTCTTCAATTGATAAATCTATTTCTTCTAAATCATCAGGTGGTCAAAGTTCAAAAAGAAGAGTAAATAAAATATTATCAAGAAGATTTGATGATTAAAAAAAAAAAAAAAACATAATTTAATTCTTTTTTTTTTTTTGTTATTTATTTTAAATAAAATAAATTTTAATTTTTAAAATAAATTTTAATTTTTAGATACAAAAGCAGATTCTATTTCTTGTTTATAAGTAAATTTTTTAGATAAATATTCTATTTGTTCAATATTCCATTTAAATAATTCAATATCTGATTTAAAGAAATATAAAATATCAAATTCTGATAATATTAAAGAATTTTTAAAAACATCTTCAATATATTCTTTAAATGAATCTGTAAAACAAAATGATATCATTTGAAAATATTTTTTCATATCAATAATTAATTCATTTACAATTTCTTTATTTTTTATTCTTAAATCCCATATTTTTTTTAATTGTGCATATTCAATTCCAAATACAAAAATTCCATTTATTAAATATGATTCAGGTTTAATAAATGAATTTGTAATAATTTTAATAAAATCATTAGTATATCCTTTCATTTCTTCTGGACTTTGTATTTTTAATGGAAAATTATTTAATGTACCAAATATTCCTTCTGCAATTACTTTTAAACAAATTAATGTTGGTTCAAGAAATTCTGAACCTATAGTAAATATTGATTTAATTATTTTAACTGAAAGATTTTTTATTTTTTCTTGTTTTTTACAATTAATATTTAATGTAATTTTTGTTGAATTAAATGAATGTAAAATTTCTTCTTTTTTCTCTTCTTTTATTTCTTTTAAATTTGTAAATAATGGATTTGGAAGTGAAGGTAAAATTGTTTTAATTGAATTTGAAATTTCTTTAAGAGAATAAATAGGTTCAACTTCAATATTATTATTTAATTTGTTATTAATTGGTTTAAATAATGATTTTGTTTGATTTTCTGCATTTAGTTGTTCAATAGGTTTAAATATTTGATTATTTCTTTTAAATAATGGTTTAGTAATATTACTTTCCATTCCTGGATAAATAATATAAATATTAGTATTACTAAGTAATTTTTGAATTATTTTTTCTGCTTCATTCATTAAAAATCTTCTATGAACCCATATTCTACCTGGATAATTTGTTGATTTTAACCAAAAAACATCAGATAATATAGTTCTCTTTATTATTGAAGATGAAATAGGAATATCTTTTCTACATTGTCCATATCCTAAAACATAACATTTATTATACTTTTCAATAATGATTGTAGGACATTGTATAATTTTATTTTCATCTATAATTTCTAATGATTATTTATAATTTCTTTTCTTTTATTTAATTATTTTATTAACAAACCTGAACGAACAAGTATTGTTCTTCTTTCTGATAATTCTATATTCCAAATAATATCTTGATATACAAGAATTTTATGAGTTTGACAGAATGAGATATCAGACATTTTCTTTTTTAAGTTCTTTGAGGTATTTTTATCTTAAATTAATTTATATAAAAAGAATTTAAAAAATAAAAATAATTTTGTTTTATAAAAAAAAAAAAGAAAAAAAAGATAATTCATTGATAAGTTCATGCAACAAGAATATACTTATCTTTCTCAATTTCCTGATATTATTAAACAACTTAAACAATTAAGTAATTTAAATAATCCACAAATATTATTTGATTCAAGATTAGAAAATTGGAGAAAAAATGAATCAATTTTTAATGAAAAAATTATTGGAAGAAATAATATATTTATTCTTATTCATGATATGGAAGGAAATATTTTTGGAGGATATATTAAAGCAAAAATTAATAATGAATGTGAATGGATTAAAGATGATGAAGCTTTTATTTTTTCATTAGAATCAAATGGTAGAATTATTACACCAAAATCTTTTCCTATTAAAAAAGATAAAAGTCAATATGCAATCTTATTATTTTCAAAAGATTTTGATTATCTCTTTCAAATAGGATTTGGATATGATATTGTTGTTACAAAACAAAATCATTCAAATAATTTTTTATCAGGAGTTAATGAAACATCTTTTGAATATGGAAAATTAAAATATCCATTATGTGGAAGTAAAACATTTATTGTATCAAGAATTATTGTTATTGAAATGAATTGAATTTCTTTTCTTTATTTACTAATATTTTATCATTAAAATAATTATCTAATTTAGATATGAAAAGAACCAACATTCAATTTATTTCAATAATACGTCCAACTTCTGGGAAAAACTTAAATGACGTTTTTGGTGAAATTTCAACATATTCTTTAATTTCTGATACTAATGATCGGAAATTATCATCCCAATAATTAAAATAAATATTAAACTTAGCATCTGATCTAATAGACAATTCTACACCTACTAAGAATTCTGAATTTTCAAAATTTTCTCCAATACACATAAGAATCTAAAATATGTAAATATTATATTTAATCTTCTATAATAATTTTAACTTTTATTCTTACTTTACTATTTTATTTCAAATAGTCTTAGGAAAATTATATTTAAGGATTTGTTTTTATATAATTTTTCTTTCCCAAACCCTATTCTAAAAAACTTCACTCATTGTATTCTTTTCTCTCTTTACAATATTCTTTATACTTCAATTTTCCTAAAACTACTTATATCTCTTTTTTTTTTTTTTATTAAATATATATTTTAACAAACTAAATTTTTCCAAATACATTCTGCTTTTGCTAATGGTACTCCAAACCTTAATTTTCCACCTTTTTCGTATGAAGTAGTATTTGGTGTCACTCCAAATTTCATATAATAACAATCACTTCCTTTAGGAAAACTTGTTGCTTTTTCAAGTCCATCATATAATCCCCAGAATTGTTCTACAGTAGAAAATGTGTATAACTCTTCCAATGATGAAAGGTTATCTCGTGATTGTGATTCATATTTATTAGAATCAAACCAATATGTCCATTTATTTAATAAAAGGTGTTGTGATTCAAGAGAGGTTGATGGTGTTGTTGGTTCCATCTTTAAATTTTAGTATATTTTTTCTTCTTTATTTTTAAGAATTCTTGTTTTCTTTTACTTTTTATTCCTTCTATTTTTTTTTTTTCTTATCTTTTTTTTTATATTAGGTCTTTTTTTGTTCTTTTTGTTTAACTTCATACATGAAAAATATTGAAGGTTAAAAAGATGATTTTTTTTAATAATGTAGTTTAGTTTATTACAATTATCCATTTATTACTTCTTATTCTTCATTTTCTTGTAAATCTTGTAAAAGAATAATAATCTTTATAATTATATAATCTTCTTTCATTTTAAAAAGATAATTTTGAATAAAACACTTAAAATCTATAAAACTTTATAACAAATATGATTAAAGCCAAACCTCTTATCACTAAATATGAGTTTGTTATTAAAGGAATCAAAAAATATTCCAAATGGAATAAACAACGAGAATATCTTGATGAATGTGTTCAAATATTAACCACATCAACTAATCCAAAAATTGATATTCTTCAACGTTCTAATAAATGTATTGAACCATTAATTGTTTTACTTACATTCTCTTCTTCATTAGATTTAACATTATTACAACTAATTCAAATGCTTTCTATGGAAGAGTTAATTCCTCTTGTTTGTTATTATTTCTTCAAAACAATATTTAAAAAAAAATAACTTATTATATCAGACTCTTCATGATCATCTCTTTATAAAATTACAACAGATGATTTCAAATGAAACTATAAATGCTAAAATTGTTCAAATTACTTCATCACTTTTAACTACTCCATTACTTGCTTCTCTTCCTGTTACTGCATTATATAATGGATTAACTACTTTAACATTAGCTGCTACAACACCTATTCTCCTCTCATCTCTTTTCTCTGTTTTATCATATATTTCTACAATAGCATCTACTCTTTATCCATCATATATTCCACAATTAGCTAAACAACAAATTAATCAACAAGAAGCAAATCATCTAATTGATCTTAACAAAAATTATTTAGGAGAATCTTTAATAGAACCAACTGAACCATTAGTATCAACTCTTTCAAAATATATAAATGATCTTTGTTTATCACCACAATATAGTAACTTAAGAACATATCAATTTGATTGTTTATTTCCAATTTTATCAAATGCACCAAATTTATTTTTCCAAATTAAACCATTATATACTCTTCTTCTTCAAGTATTAATTCCAAAACTTCCTGTTATTATTAATTCTACATTACAATATCATTCTACATTTTTAGTAAATTTTTCTACATTTCCTGGATATCCATATTTTATTTCATTACATATGTTTGAATCTTCAAATTGTATTTTATCATTATTCTACCAATTTTTCTCAACAAACCAATCATCTTTTGTTTTAAATAAACATTTCTATCCTCTAATTATTTCATTTTTAAAAAATGGAGTAACAATTGCACAACCTACTTCAGTAGAACATATTTCATCACCAAAAAATCTTCAAGAATTATCATATTTTTGTTTCTTTTTATTAATATCTCATATGGTTAGTGTAACATTTGATTTATCAAATGAAATTATCAATTTAACACTTAATACATTAACAAAATTTGGTAATTCAATTGATTCATTGGTTTGTATTGAAAAGATGATGAGAGTTATGGTTAATAGAGGTTATTCTATTTGCCAATTATTAGAACTTGCAGGGAAAACTAAAAATGGATGGGGAGCAGTAATTAATGCAATTGAATTAAGTCCTAAATTTAAACATAAAGAATGGAAATGTATTTGGAAAATGGTTGAACAAAATCATTGGATGACTATTTGTAAATATACAAAATATCTTAAAGAAACAGAATTAATTGAATGTGTTAAAGAACTTATTCCAATAATAAATACATTAAATTATTATAAAGAATTAATTAATATTTATGAAGAAAATATTAATAAAATTATTATTATTCATCCATTATGTAAAAATATATTAAAAAATGGAGTATTAGAAGATATTTCAATATGTGAAAAAATTGGAAGAATGATTTCTAATATATTAGGACAAATAGATAAATATGAAAATAAAAAACAAGAAAATGAATTAATTACACTTATTTTTACATTTATTAATGAATGTATTAAAGATAAAAAATGTAAAGAAAAACAAATTAATATTATTCTTAATTCTCTTGAAATATTAAATGAAATTACATTACCTATTTATGAACATATTAATGAATTAATACCAATATTTACTATTTTTTCAAATTTATCTCAACAAATTGTATCAAATAGTTTTAATATTTTTAAACAAATTGTATTATCAATTCATCCAACACAAATTCCAATAAATATTATTTATCAATATATTATTCAAACATCTGATATTAATATATCATTAAGTGCAATTCAATTATTTTCAGATATTATTATTCAATTAAAAGATTCTAATGAATATTTACCTCTTTCTTTAATTATTTTAAAACAATTTTATTTATGTTTAAAAGATAAAAGATATGATATTTGGAGTTCAGCATTACAAACACTTACACAATCTATTGCATATGAAGGAGAAATGATAATAAATTGTATTGATCAATTACTTCAAGATATTTTATTTCCAGTTTTTAATGAAATGAAAAATATCTATATTAAACTTACACAATCAGAATTACCTAAAGAACATACAAAAGTATTATTTTATATGCCTCCATTAATTAAACAATGGAATGATAATATTTGTATTCTTATTGGTGGATTAACTAGAATATTAAAATATATTCTTCCATATGTATCATCTAATTTAAAAGAAGAATTATATAACCAACTTATTGGTGTAACTGATATGGCATTATATAATCCAGGAATGCTTACATGTGAAATGATATTAAAATATAATTATTCACTTTTAATACAATCAATAAATGAAAAAGAAGATATATATAAGAAAGTATTTACAACTTATATTTTAATTGGTAATTTTATTTCAAAAAATAATGGAATAAATACAACTATTTCTAAATTTTACTTAACTACTTCAGAGAAGTTACTTCAAGATCATCTCATTGAAGATGTTGTATTTTCTATTATTCAATATGTTTCTGTATTTCCTGATGATTTTAATATTGAACCAAATGGATTAAGTACTTGTCAACAATTAGTCTTTAATTTGATTGATTATATTCTTTTAAAATATAAGAATTGTCAAAAATTATATGTGAGTTGTTTATGTAAAATGATTAGTTATTTAATTAGTGAATTTAAAGAAAGAGCACAAATATGTGTTTATCATTGTATTAATGAAATTTATAATAAATTAGGAAGTAGTATAAATGAAGAAATTATAAATCAAATAGATATAGAAGAACTTAAATTAAGTATTTTAAAATCAAAATCTACATTATTAAGAATAGTAAGAAGAGATAATAATAATAATCAATATTATCAAAAAATTATGAATAATATTAATAAAATTATTTATTATATTGGAATAACTGGAATAGATTGTTATTATGATTTTTATATTAATATGTATACTTTTAATGATTATAAAGAATTAAATAATATTATATATCAACCATATCAAAATGCAATTAATTATATATATGAAATTATTATAAATAGAAAACAATTAAAAAATGAGAATAATATTATTTCTAAATGTTTATTAGATATTCAATATAATGGTTATTATGATAATTTATCTTATTGGAAACAAAAGATATTATTATCATTAATTCAAATAGAAAATCCAATTGGAATATATACTCAAAATGAATTTGTTAACACAATAATAAATGAATTAGAAAGAATTAAAATAATAATAGAGATAAATGATGAAAATCTAGAGTATATTAAAATAGAATGTCTTGACTTTATGAATCTTCTTAAAGAATTAATTAAAATAAATAAAAATCAATTAGATAAAAAGAAAATTTTCATTGCAATATTACCATTTATTACATTAGATAATTCTAAAATACGACATTATGTTTTAGATATTTTAGATTTATTAACACCTTCAGTTAAATTTAAATAATATTATAAAATAATTTTGTTAATTACTTTGGTTTAACCAATTAAATTCTTGTTCATATTTTTCAATATTTCCTTTAAATGATGTAATAATAGAATCATTTAATGATAATTCTAATTCTTCAAGTTGATATAATGCATCAATAATTATTGTATTGAGAAATTCATTTGTTATTTTTTTTAAAATAAGTTGTTGAAGTATTTTCTTTTTTTTACTAAGTTCATTTCTATAATTTTCAATTATTAATTCAATATGTTTCATATATTTAATATTTCTTTGTATTTTTGTAATAATAAAACTATTTTCTTCTTCTTCTTCTTCTTCAGAAGAGATAGAATAAGGCATACTAATAGTACCTTTTTCATAATTTTTTTTTTGTTTTATTTCTTCTTTTTTAATTTTTTTAGGTTTTAAGTTATTTGTTTTTTGGTCTTTGTGAATAGATTGTATAGTTTTTAGTTTTAAAATATCATCTTTTTTCAACTGTGTTTTATTGATAATTATTACTTCTTTTGGTTCTTTTGGTTTTTGTGATTGATTTAGAAATGGAGATTTTTCATTATCAAAACAAAGATTTTGGTTTTGTTGTAATTCAAGAATTCTATCATGGGCTTGATCTATTTGAGAGAGAGAAGAATTCAAAGGAGAATTAATTGGTTGGTTTTGTTGAGATTTGATAAGACGAATGATATTCATTTTAGACTTTTCTGAATAAATTTGTAAAAGTAAGAATTATTTTAGTTTGTAAAGTTTTAATATTTAAATATAGATGAATTAAGAAAGATAATCTTAAAAAGAACTAAATAATAAATTAAAGTTATTTATAATTAAGAATGACAGAATCAATAGATGAACGTTTTGGTTATATTATTTCAGAATCATTTGATAATCGTCTTAATGCTTATTTAAATGAAACAGAAATAATTACTACTGGATATCAAACAATTATAGGAACAATATTAGGAACATCATTTGGAAGAGTTTTATTGTTTAATAATAAAAGTAATGAAATTGTAAATGAAAAACAATTATTTACAAAAGATCCAGTAATTGGAATTGGGTATGATAGTGGAAATATTTATGCAGCACAAATAAAAGGACAAATAGTAAGAATTTATAATGAATTTAAATCAATTCAAAGTGAAGAAGAATTAAAAAGTAATGAAAAAATAATAAGATTTTGTATGGATCAACAAGGAAATAGAAATAAAAAAATATTTTGCTATGGAATACAAATAGGAAATAATCCACCTCTTATACGTATTATTGATAAAAGTGGATATGGATTATTTGGAGGAAATACAAATTTAATTTGTAAACATTGTAATAAAATTATAGATATTAAATGGGTTGGAAATATTATTTGTTGTATTGGAGGATTATATGATGGAAAAGAATATAAAGATGCATATATTTATTTATATGATTTTAGTACAAAATCAAAAGAATTTCAAGAAATATTTAATTTTAATAATATTAAAATTTCTAAAGAATCATATTGTTGTATTTTACCATGTAATGATAATAGATTTATTATTTCATGGGGACAATTAAAAATTAATATTGATATTTCACCATCAATGATAGTTGAAAATAAAAAAAGATTTTCACAAAGTACATTTCAAGTTAATGATAAAAGTATAAATATTAGATCAATGGCATTAATGGAAAATAGAATTATTGGATTTGTTGATACAAAAGAAGGAAAAAGTGGAATAAAAATATTACAATCATCATCAGGAAATGAACCAAATGCATTATATGAAATAAATTATCCTAAAGAACAAGTATTTTTATTTGGATTTATTAATGAAGTAGAAAAAATTATTTTAATTGGAAAAAGAAAAATAGAAGTTGGAAGAATGAGAAAAGATAGTGATACTATTCAATTATTAATTCAAAAAAAGATGTTTGGAGATATTTTAAATAGAGTATCAACATCAAAAGAAAAATTTACTGATAAAGGAGATATTCAATATTTTTGGAAAAATTATATTCTTCAATTAACAAATATTAAAGATGAATCATTAATTAGATTAGAACAACATCTTAAAGAAAATATTATTGATCAATCTGATATTGTTGCTATTATAGGAGAAACTGAAGATAATCAAGAAAAAAATAAATATATTAAATTTTTTACAAAATATTGTGTAAAATATTATCATAAATTAAAAAAAGGATATAATATATTACTTTCTGCTAAATTATCTATTATTCCTAGTTTAACAACTCAAATTATAACTGAAGATCTTGCTAATTCATTTAAATTAAAACAAAATATTGAAGATTATAAAAATGGATCTAATGTTACATTAAATGAATATATATCTATTATTAATAGTGAAATTGATTTATATAATGAAATTCTTTTATTCCCTGGATTACCTGCTTCAATTCAAAATGAAATAGGAAATGCTACAATATCAATACAAGAACTTATTAGTGATACAAACATTGCAGATTTTCAAGGTTTTGTTATTCAATTTAAATTTAATAATGGTTTATATATTCCTGCATGTGAATATGCATTAAAAACACAAAATCCTCAAACATTATTATTTATATTAATATTAATTGAAAAACAACCTAAAGATAAAATTAAAGAAATAGTAGAAATGTTTGGAAATGATTTTGATTCAGTTAAAATGTGTATGCCACAACAAGATACATTAAATAATTCTATTATAGAATTTCAAATTTATCAAAAATTATTTAAATTATTTAATAAAGCATTAAATAATCCTATTAAAACCACTTTATTTGAATCAATTTCACATCAAATAGAAGATAATAAAAAAGGACCACAATTACTTTATGCTTCTATAAGTGGAAGAATTGGAGATATGAGTCAATTTGCAATTGATTTTATAAAAGAAATTATTTATAAATATATTGAAGAAAATGGAAATTTATTAAACTTTTATAAATATGATTCTGGTATTGAAATTATTCAAAATATAGTTGATATTATTGATAAAAAAAATAATTCTGAATTAGCAAGAAAAGTTTTTGAAGAAATTATTAAAACATCACAAGTAAGTGATATTGTTATTCCTATTATGTTAAAACGTTCTCAATTTAAAGTTCAATTATTTGATGAAATCCCTAATACTCTTAAAATTGGTGATATATCAGATTCAGTTCATGATATGTTATGTTCTTTAAAATTTACAAATCATACTCTTTCTGAAATTCTTAAAATTGCTAAAGAAGAATCAAAGAAAAAAATGTCTAAAGCAAGTGATAAAACAGGAGTTCCTTTTAATATGACAACTCTTTGTTCTAAATGTCAAAAACCATTAACTGGACCTGTTAAAAATGTTTTATGTGGTCATATTTATCATGATTCTTGTCATAGAGAAATACTTGTGT